CATGCACACAGCTTGCTCTCCGGGACTGGGCGTCCAGTGCTTAGCTAAGATGAAATGCTGTGTCCACCCCACCCTTATGAAAACAGACTAAAGTGCAGGCAGGGCTGAAAGTTTCAAGCAGCGGAGTTGAAGACAGGTGAACCTACAACACCCAGCAGGCTGATGTCCCCAGCACGTGACAGCATCTGGCCGCCTCACACTCAGTCTGTGCCCAGCTCTTCATCCCCCTGGACGGGCACAGGGCAGTGTGCGCCACAGCAGTCTGGGTGGCAGGTGAGCCACCTGCAGGTCACAGGCAGGGGGCTAAGAGTCCCTCTAACTGGTTATTCTTCTTATTTGTCTTGATTTTCATTTTTATTTTGCTAATCTTTTGCAGTGTTGGGGATGGAACCCAAAATCCTGTGCATGTGCCTCGTGATCCTAGACAAATGCGCATCAAGAAAGATCTTCAAAGGTAAAGGAAAGCAGAATAATGAGCCTTCCCACCCCAGGGGAGGCTTGGTGCTGGGCCACAGCTCAGGATGGGCTGGGCTCACCCTGGGGTGCAGAGTGGGCAGGGGGAACGCCCACCAGCCTCACCCCACTCCCAGGTCTGCTGCACATCCACACCATGGGGGAAAACCAGCAGACACTGCCACCTGAGCCACACTGCTTCAGTCCTAAGAGGGAGACCTCCAACTACCCTGTTCCCACCACCACAGTGCCAGGCCCTGGTTCTTATCTGCCGCAGTCCGGCTGCAGCAAACTAACCAGGGGGGTGATGAATAACTTTGTACATTGATACAGCAGGAGTAGAAGCCCTTTATTGTAGGACAACAGAGGTATTTATACATTTTGCACAACTTATCTTAATTAGCATAAACTAGATACATCAGTCAACCAATAAGGAATCTCCACGCTTAATGGTTTGCTTTTGTTACTTCTCAAACCACTCCCTCTGGCATTTTGCCAGGCACCATCCAGACTTGTTTACGAACTCTAACATTTCCCTGGCAAAATACCAGGTGTTATTTTGACTTGTTTACAGACCTTAACACTTATCTAAACCCACAGAGAAGACAGGGGCGCTTCTGACATTATCAATCCCACCTCGGCCATCCCACCTAACAGAAACCGTCACTTCCAAAGCCACCAGTAACCCTATTTTCTCATTGTTTATTGGTACATTATATTGTACACAGTGGTGGGACTTGTTACATATTCCCATGTTAACACACCCTCTTAGTATAAAGAAAGGAGGGTAAAATTTCCAAGAATCGTGAAACCACAGATGGGAAAAGAGCCACCCCCCTTTTAAAAAAAAACATTCAGCTGGGAAAAGGAAATATAGACGGTCATTGGTATTTGTACCACCCTTTACAGACGTAAGTGTGGGTGAGCTCAAGAATCAAACCACATAGTACACAGGCTGTGCTGCTCACAAAGCCACGCTTAGGGTGCTACATTTAAAAGCATGGTTGAACCATATCCAAACAATTAGTTAAAGAATTAAGATTCTGTGCTTTGCTCTCTTTGCGGGTCTAAAGGACCAGGAAGGCC